AACGAGAAACATCTGTAGAGGGGAAAAAAATTAAAATATGTTACTGTAAATACATATGCAAATACGTAAGTCACTTGCTTAAAAGAACAACTGCTGTGGACAAATATCCATAGGTTGTAAGCCAAGGATTATGTGCCTAAAGGTCACAAAAAGAAAGAAAAAAGTATAAATGCTATATATAGCTTCTCTCAGACTGGGGAATTGGTTTTGCCCTACCTACAAGCCAATAAGCATGACTTCGACTGTTTCACGGATTCTGGCAGGAGACAGGAGGCTCTTGAGGCAAAAGCAAAGAACTGTCCCCTTCACAGCCACAGCAGCATGAGCATTCGCCTGCTTGCACTGGTTCATGTGTCTCCACATTCTCCCGGGGTGAAAAGGGTCCCCCTTTTCATGAGCAGCTGGGGTGCATCACAGCTGAAGGACGTGGAGCTTGGGAACCTAGGACTTCTAACAAGCAGTAAGCAACGTGCTCTTTGTCCCAGAGGGAAGCCTTAACAGACCCCACAAAGTCTCCTGCAAACCTGACAGATGGCCTGTCATAGTCTTGACGTACCCAGAAAGACAGTCAGTGGCTATGGCAGAATGCCTCTCCCAACAGTCCGTCCCTGGGCCTAATAAATTCTTGACCAAACTCAAATTTTTGTGACTGTGCAGAATCTCATGAAGCGTTTAATGAAGGCCACTGTCAACGGGACTCCGAGCAGCAGGGGCATCCATCTGTAGGCTTAGCCGCAACCATGCCCCCGGGGTCCCAGATGCAGCCGACTGTGAATAAGTCCCGGGGGGACTAGTGTGTCCCAGGTCAGACAGATGGGATGTCATCTAACATCAGTCTGTTATCCCTTAAAACCTGCACAAGGGAGTTTATACCTTCCTGATCTTTGCTGTTCCTGAAGATACTCATTGGGGACAATAAACGGGCCAAAAAAGCAAGCCCTTTCTCCCGTGGAAGCATTCTGTGCCTGCTTTCCCCAAATACAAGCATAAAACCAGAAAGTGGCACATGTCATTCCAGTTCCAAAATTGTTAGACTTGAGCCTGGATGCTTGCAGCCTCCATCTTCACGTCGCTGCACCCAAGGCTGCTCCGGGCACGGAAATACACCCGTTTGCGTCATTCAGATGAAGTTGTGCCGGCCTGCATATTTATGCGTGAATTTGGGGCGCGGGGAGACCTACACTCAGGAGACCTTTGTCTCTGGAAAATCTACTCCCTTTCTTGTCATTTTTCCTTTGATTTTTGACCTAAAGATTTATCTACTAGCACTGTTTCATCAGCAGCCTTTCCAGTTACTAACAATAATAAATTATTTGAAAATAGTTTCTTTCAGACAGTATTAAAATGTAAGATATCCTGTATAAATTATGAAATGCACTTCTACAGTACCGATTTGATAGAAATCAGTATTTTTAATAATCCATTTGACCTAGTGCCATTTGAGTTCCACCGTAGCCATTAAAATTAATGAAATTATTTTAATAATTTCATCTGGTTTGATTTCTTTTTAGTTTTTAAATGTATGATTTTTGCATTATTTTTGTGTTTATTAATAGGATCCTGTGAAGAATGGCAACTAATTCTGTTTCTCTTGTTTGGTACATTCTTGTATCTTCATCTGTTGCAGAAGAGATTAATCATGAACTCAGCTTTTATTTGGGGCTAAAATTTTGTTTGTTTCATGTTTCAAATATCCAAACATTGACAGTAATATTTTTTAAATCTTAGTTTACATTAAATGTTAATCATGAAAGCGGATGGTTGGGCACCTGGGTGGCTCAAACCTCTGCCTTTGGCTCAGGTCAGGATCCCAGGGTTTTGGGATCGAGCCCCGCATGGGGCTCCCTGCTCAGTGTGGCATCTTCTTGCTCTCCACTGCCGCCATCCCCCTCCCTGCTCACACTCTCTTTGTCTCTCAAGATCTTTAATAATAATAATAATGAAAGTGGATGAATGTGTAGAATTTAAAAAGAAGTTTATTAACAAAAGGTTTATAAACAAAAGTTTATTAACACCTTTTGTTAATGTGTGCATGCTTACTATGACAGCCAAATTATAAATCACAGTAAAGGTGCTTGAACTCATGTAATCTTATAAACCTGAAATAAACACAGTACTCCATGTCAATGTCCAGAAATATGACACATTTGAAGCCAGTAATTAGTGGAAGTTTTCATTATTCTGTTAGAGGTATTGAGCCCTTGAGTGATTATGATTTAAAGTAAGTCAATAACTAGGAACAATAGTAATTTAGCCAGTTTCTAAATGTAAACGCTAACTTATTTTCATTGGTGAGCCTTGTTCTGTAATTAGAATAGACATTTGAATTTCTCTATTAGAAGATAAAATTTATACATGTACAACTTTCCAGCCATATCAGAAAGCTGAAAAATCAATTGTTATTTACCATAGTTTATTGTAGAAAGTCTAAATTTATCATGAATATTCTAGAAATGTTTCTCTAAAATAACAGTGGTTATCACCAAACCATTTTATCAATTTCTGTTTAGCTCAAATAAGTAATAGAATTTTACTTTTGAACTTTTCATATTTAAAATCATGCCTCTTGATAAAAAGATTCCGTTTTCATTTTAAATTTTGATTTTGAGAATTTTTTTCCCTTACTCTGTGCAGGTTAAATTAACTACTATAGGAGAATTAAAAAATGTAAAGAAAATATGCCTACAAAGTAATTTGCTTTACACGCAAAACAATACAATAAACATAATACGATTATAATATAAACATACTGTAAATTTTTTAGTTATGTCAATAAGTAAAAATCCTATACACATCTAGTATATGAAACCTGAGGGAATAAATAAAATGATCTAATAATTGTGTTCATCTGAGTATAGAACTTGTCCCTTTAATTTTTTGAGGAATTTTATGTTAATTTATACCAAAAGGACATGTTCCCAATTAAGTTTTAAGTATTAATACTTAATACTTAAACTTAAGTATTAAGTTTAAGCATTAAGAATTAATACAGTGTGTACATACAGCAAATTATAAGATTCTTTTTTTACTCCAGACTTCTAGAACTTCTCCCCAGAGTCAACCAGTGCTATCAAGTTTTTGTGTATCCTTTTGGAAATAAGGTATATGTAGTCATAATTACATGGATAAATACCCCCTACTTTCATCATTTTTTAAAAAAATATTTGAACAAGAATGAGAGCAAATTGAGGGGTAAGAGGAAGAAGGAGGCCCCACCCCTACCCCCTCAAGAAGCCCGATGCGGGACTCGATCCCAGGACTCTGCCACTGTGACTTAAGCTGAAGGCAGACGCTTAACTGACTGAGCCACCCAGGCACCCTCCCTACTTTGATTGTTAATGGTGGTTTACCATCCAACATTTGATTCCTTTTTTCCTTGACAGTACTCTTGATCAATAGTTTAAATAAGGGGAGTTTGGCAAGAATGAGAGAAGAATGATTCTTGAGCTTCAAGGATGTGCTTTATGCTCTGCTAGACAATTTTTAAGTAATTTTGGTAAATCTTTAGGACACTCCTAAGAGGTAGTGAGAATACCTCCTCTTGAAGAGATAAAGAAATAGGCCTAAGAGAGATCAAATCACTGGCTCAGAGTCACATAGCTAGTAATTGAACTAGAACTTGAATCCAATTCTGCCTACTTTCAAACCCCACAGTCTTTTCATGAGTATGCGGTAGTTTTGTTGTTCATGTCCCTGTCCCTCTCCCCTTTTTTTCATATTTGTTACTTAAAGATAGTAAATGACTAAAAGGTTATAGATGTCTGAATTCATTAAATAAAAGTCACGTCTCAACACCTTTTTATTATTAACTTCATTATCTTGTTTTTCTTTCTACCTTCTAAGTTGTTAAAAGATGTGGGTTTAGGATTCCGTAGACAGAAGTTGAAATCCTGGCTTTCTTTGATCTCACCCTGGATATTTAACTTGTCTGAGCCTCAGGAATCTTAAAAGTTTAAATGATAGTAATTATCTAAAGGAATTGGTGGGAAAAGAGACTGTACTGATATGTGTAAAGAATCTAGGATAGTGTCTGGCGAGGAAGAAGGTATCAAAGTCTGTGACAGGGCCAGACCATAGGAATTCTGTTCCTTTGATTATCTGTGAGAATTTCATGAGTTGTTATTCATGTTAAGTACTGATAATCTTTGTATGATATAATGTTTTTGTTTTTTAAATATTTGGAACCCATTTTTCAAGAAATGTGAGCTATGAAAAATTATACCCTTCTAATTAAAAAAAATTTTTTTCATTGAAAAATATATTACCACTATTTGTTATTTAAAGATAGTAAATCTTGTTCATTAAAAATATTTGTAGTGTTCAATTTTGGGTTAACCAGATTTCTGTCTTGAATAGAAGTTACTTTCTGTTGATTCCATCAGATATCAGATACTGAGTGTGCATTCTTTCTCACTGACCTACAGCTATAAGGTGTATACATACATTCTGTCATGTATGTTTATTATATTGTTTTGTGTGCAAGGAAAGTTATTTTCTAGGTATATTGTCTTTACATTTTTTAGTTCTCCCACAGAAATTACTATATTAACCTGTACACAGGATGAAAATTCACCACAGGAAGTTTAAACTCTTTTTCTGTGATCACACACACACACACACACATACATATGTATATATTGTATGTGTACATATGTATGTATATGTGTGTATGTGTGTGTGTATGTATACTTTTTTCCCTATAAGTTGTTTGATAAGTAGAAATTATAAAAGGTCATGATATATTTTCAATATGCTCTTTCAGTTCTTTTAAAAAGTTTGTGCTTTGCGGTGCCTGGCTGGCTCAGTCAGTAGAGCATGCAACTCTTGATCTTGGGGTTATGGGTTTGAGCCCCACATTCTCTGTAGAGAGTACTTAAAATCTTTATAAATAAATAAATAAATATGTTTTGTTTCCATTTTAGGTTGAGACCACATTTTGTGTAGAGATTACTTAAAATCTTAATAAATAAATAAATGTTTGTGTTTTGCTTCCATTTTAGGCCCAGACCTTACCTGTTTAAAGGTGATCATAAATTTCCTACAAACAAAGAGAACTTACCAGTGACTATACTCTATGCTGAAATTGGTACCAGAGCATTTAGTAAATTTCACAAAGTATTGTCTGAAAAAGCTCAAAATGGGAAAATTCTGTATGTTCTTCGGCATTATATTCAGGTACAGTATTATCCAAGATTATTTTGTATATAAAAATTATGTTTGATAATTTCCTTACTAGGTTTTACATAATTTCCACCTGAACAGTTAAAGATTTTTTAAAATTAACATACCTATCGGGGCACCTGGGTGGCTCAGTGGGTTAAAGGCTCTGCCTTCGGCTCAGGTCATGATCCCAGAGTCCTGGGATCGAGCCCCGCGTCGGGCTCTCTGCTCCGTGGAGAGCCTGCTTCCTCCTCTCTCTCTGCCTGCTTCTCTGCCTATTTGTGATCTCTCTCTGTCAAATAAATGAATAAAATGTTTAAAAAAATAATAATAAAATAAAATAAAATTAACATACCTATCAAATGTGAATTTTATATGGAAAAATATATGGGGATTCTGTATCTTGTTGATACTCCTCTCTCTTCAGATTCCTTCTTAAATCTGAAACATTTAAAACTTGGATAAAAAACAAAATGACATGTGTGTAATATTTGCTAGGATTCATAAATAGAGGGTTTTTTTGGTTTGTTTTTTGAGAGAGAGGGAGAGTCTATGAGCATGGGGGAGAAGGGGTAAAGTGAGAGGGAGAGAGAGATTCTTAAGCAGACTCCATGTGCAGCACAGAGCCCGAGCCCATGACCCTGAGGTCATGACCTAAGCTGAAATCCAGAGTCAGGTGCTTAATCAGCTGAGCCATCCAGGTACACCCCTTTAAATACAATTATTATCTTTTAAAGATTTTACTTATTTGACACAGAGAGAAATAGCAAGAGAGAGCATGAGCAGGGAGGAGAAGGAGAAGCAGTCTCCCTGCTGAGCAGGGATCCCAATGCAGGGCTCCATCCCAGGACCCTGGGATCAACTGAGCCACCCATTTGCCCCATAAATACAATTATTTTTAATGAAAAAGTATTATGGTTAGGAAATCTAATTTAATTGATATGGTATATATTAGTTCGAAGTGTGAAGCATGGTATGGGAATGCTATTAACTATTTCTTTAGCGGACTACAGTATTATTCAAGTTTCTGATCGAATACATTGTATTCTCACTCTTCCAACCTCTCATTTCTGTCACACTCTGTTACAGTATTCTGGTTTAATGACTATAGTACCCATTGCTGTATCTCAAGTTTTCTTTCTTTCATACCTCCACACCATTCCCCCCACCCCACGCAACCCAATTCACGCAAATATACTAGAATGAACGTTAGAGAAGGACTTTGCTTTTTTTACTACTATATTCCCAACATGGAAAGAGTGTTTTATGTTGAAATACTAGTGATTTGCATATTAATGTTTAAGATAATAAAAGCATTCACAAATATACTCGTTAATTGCCTATCCATATTCTTTACCTGTTTTTATATTGGATTATTTGGGTTTCTCTTTTTCTTTTTTTTTTTTTTTAAGATTTTTTAAATTTATTTGACAGAGATCACAAGTAGGCAGAGAGGCAGGCAGAGAGAGAGGGGGAACCAGGCTCCCTGCTGAGCAGAGAGCCTGATGCAGGGCCCGATCCCAGGACCCTGGGATCATGACCTGAGCCAAAGGCAGAGGCTTTAACCCACTGAGCTACCCAGATGCCCCTGGGTTTCTCTTTTTCTTACCTGTAGGTTTTGAAATATATGTTCTGAATACTAATCTTTTCTTCTATAGTTTGCAAACATCTTCTACAATATTTCTGGTCTTCTGGTATTAAAACAAATTATTTATGACATCTTTGGTTCAGTGCAAGTAATAATTGTGATGTCAGATTTATCCAACTTTTCTTTAGTGATTCCCTTCACGATGTCATAAAGACATTCTCGTGTATTTTCTTGTAATAATTAAAATGCTATTTTTTGAGTTTTGGTTTTTAATTTATCTGGAATGTATTTGAATATGCTGCAGGCTGGAGATACAATTCTAGTTTCTCCATATGAAAATTATTGGTCCCCAAATAATTTATTGAACAGTTAAGTCTTTATTCTAAACCATCATATACCAAGTTTTCATATAGACATGTATGTTTTTAGATTCTATTCTTTTCCAATAATATAATGTCTCCTTTACACAAATATATTTCAGTTGCAAGAGCTGTAAATTCTAAAGCAGTCTTGACAAAGAACAAAGCTAGGAGGCATCATGCTTCCTGATTTTAAACTACATTACAGGGACGCCTGGGTGGCTCAGTGAGTTAAAGTCTCTACCTTTGACTCAGGTCATGGTCCCAGGGTCCTGGGATCAAGCCCAGCGTTGGGCTGTCTGCTCAGCGGAGAGCCTGCTTCCCCTCTCTCTCTCTCTCTCTCTCTCTCTCTCTGTGCCTGCCTTTCTGCCTACTTGTGATCTGTCTGTCAAGTAAGTAAATTAAAAAAAAAAAAAACTGTATTACAAAACTGTAGTATTAAAACAGTGTGGTATTGGCATAGAACTATGTAGATCAGTGGAACAGAGAGCCAAGAAATAAACCCATGCATAAATGGTCAACTAGTATTTAACAAGGGAGCAAAACATACTCAGTTAAATGGTGCTGGAAAAACTGGATAACCACATGCAAAAGGATGGAACTAGCCCCCTATTTGACAATACTCATAAAAATTAACTTGAATTGCATTAAGGATTTAAACATAAAATATGAAATCATGAAACTCCTAGAAGAAAACCTAAGGAAAAAGCCCCTTGTCAATGGTCTTAGCAGCGATTTTTTGGATTTGATGCCAAAAGCAAAGGCAACAAAAGCAAAAATGAAGTGCAATAAAATAAAAAAGAAAAGAAAAAATAAAGTAGGACTACATCAAACTAAAAAGCGTCTGCGCAGCAAAGGAAGCTATTAACAAAATTGAAGGCAATGTATGGAATGGGAGAAAATATTTGTAAATCATATATCTGATAAGGGGTTAATATCTGAAATACATAAGGACCTCAGGCAACTCAGTAGTAAAAAACGTAGTCTGATGAATAGACATTTTTCCAAAGGAGACTTACAAGTGGCCAGCATGTACATGAAAAGGCATTCGACATTACAAACCAGGAAATGTAAATAGAAACCACAATGAGGTACCACCTCAGACTTGTTAGAATTGCTGTTATCAAAAAGACAGGTGTGAGAGGGTGGAGAAAAGGGAGTATTTTTGCACTGTTGATGAGAGAGTGAATTGGTACAGCCACTATGGAAAACAGTATGGAGGTACCTCAAAAATGTTTAAAAAGAACCACTGTACGATCTGGTATTTCTGCTTCTGAGTATATATCCAAAGGAAACAAAATACTAACTTGAAAATCTATCTGTGGTCCCATGTTCATTGCCGCATTACCTACCATAATGTAGACATGGGAAACAGCCCCCATGTTCAGCGGTGGATAAATGGATCAAGAAAATGTGGTGTGTGTATACAGTGGAATAGTACTCATCCTTTAAAGGGAAAGAAATCCTGCCATTTGTGACACTATGGATGGCCTCTTGAGGGCATTATATTAATTGAAATAAATCGGACAGAGAAAGACAAATACTGTAATGATGTCACTTACATGTGGAACCTAAAAAACAACCAAACTTCTAGAAAACGGGAGGTGGTGTTGATGGGTGAAGGTGGTTGGAAAGTACAGACTTCCAGCTACAAGTTCTAGGGTGACCTAATACTACTGTGTTGCATATTTGCAAGTTGCTAAGAGAATAGATTTTTAAAGTACTTATCACAAGAAAAAATACTGAGGTTTGGATGTTTACTAAACTTACTGTGGTAATTGTTTCATATAGTCTTGATCAAATCATTATGTTGTATGCCTTAAACTAATAGTGTTTATGTCAATTATACCAGAGTAGGAATGGAAGTGGGAGATCAAATTATTGTTTATCTTTTAAAAAATGTCCCCCAAGTGATTCTAATGTGCCCTATAGGGGGAGATATGATCATCTGTCAAGAAATCAGTGTCCCAGGTTCTTTTTTGGAGAATGTGACCATAAAATAAACTCTGAACACATACTAGCCAACTATCTGGGCACTTTGTCACATCAAATTATAGCCTTCTTAATGAACAATGTATTATACATTCAAAATAGGTATATTTTAAATCTGGTCAACATGTAATTCTAATAAAATAAACTTATTTTTGCTACCTTTGGAACAGATGTCTTTTTATGGGGAAAGAAGAAATAGAAAAATGAAGAAAGAGTCTTCTCACCAGTTGATTTTGTCTATGAGCATTTTTGGTTTGCAAATCCAAACTTATTAGACTACAGTTCACATTATATATTAATACATTTTCAAATGGAGTCAGTAAATATGAATTTAATAAACATTTATCTTTATTCCTGAGGAGCTAATAATATTTCAGAATTGATAATGGAAATTGGTTATTTGAAATTGCATTTCTTTTATGAACTATAACAAAATATGTAGACTTGGAGCTTCGATTTGCTTCTCTACCAGCTGATTGTCTTTTTGGTGGATAGTCAAATGGATTTTTAAATTGAGCTGTATGAAATTGAAAACTCTCTAAAATATTTTCACCTTTTTCAGATGACCATAATTATAAGCAGCTCAGTTCCCTTGTGCTATCTTTCATTATAGCATGTGCCTGAGAAATTAGCAAATTACATTTTCACATGGGCAGCAGTGTTAAATATTTCTCTGCGTATCTGAAACTAATTCTTACATCCTCTTATTTGGAAATAGAACAGCCCTGGAATAGTCACTCTGGTCATCTACTTATTTTTAAGGTTGGAGGCAGGGGAGCTAGGGAGGAAAGAAGAGAATAAAAAGGGGAAAAAAAAAGCCTATTGAGGTTCTCCTTCCCTCCGATCTCTACTCTTCCTCTATCATGTGAGGATCATAAAACTGCCCTCTTGCAAACTTGAGTAAGCGCAGATGCACACCATGTTCCAGGGAGTTCGCAAGGCGCTAGGTTAAACCAGTTTCCTAAGCCGTGAAAGAATGTGCCAAATGAAGAAGACTGTAGCAAAATCGATAAGAATTTCCATCTGGAAGCTAGAAAGAACCTTAGACATCTTCTAAAAATGTTATATATATTCATCCAGGTTGCTTACCTTTTGAAAAAAATGTGGTGCGTCCTCTTCCTTGATAGGGTAATCTCTAGAAGTACATTTTGTATTTGTCCTTTACAGAAAGGGGAAAGTTAGGTATTAAAATTCCAATCAGCAATACCTCAGAGAACTCCATTTTAGGCAATTTTTGCCCTTGTTGCAAGAGTAGATACGGATTTGTGGCATTTGGTATATTTTAATCATTGAGAAATGTGAAGAAAAATTTAATCAGATTGTTCCAGACACTGTGTTTTTTGGTGTCTTTTGCCTCTACTCTTCAGTATTGCTTTTGGCAACACTATAGTTATCCTACATCTAGATAACTAGCAAATGAATAGCATTTGGCGGTTTAGCAAATCCTGTGTAGTTCACTGAAAGGAGTACAGTTTTATTGCAACTTAATTGTATTGGAGCTTCTATTAACTCATAGGAGAAATGGGGAAGTTACCATAGTTAACAGAAAAAGATCAGGTATTTTTCCTTTTAAAAGGGTAATTAAAACATTAGAGCCATAACAAGGTTTTTAGAAAGTAAAGAAGTGGTGATTAACTAAATTCTGGGTCCTAGATATGCTGTCTAGAGAGAGTATAAATATCCCCCAAATAATATTTCACAGTGTTAAAAATATATATTAGTAGGGGTGCGTGGGTGGCTCAGTTGGTTAAGCATCTGCCTTTGGCTCACATCATGATCCTGGGGTCCTGGGATCGAGTCCTGCGTCGGGCTCCTTACTCAGTGGGGAGCCTGCTTCTCCATCTGCTCCCTCCCTCGCCCCCTCCCCGTTCTCTCTCTCTCTCAAAAAAAGAAATAAAATCTTTTAAAAAAATATATTAATTTACCCTAATATCCTAATACACAAACATACTGGATTTAAAAGAAGATGTTTGACCAAATATTTTCTCTTTTTAAAAATCTAAATGTGTTGGAACAGAAACCAGTCTCACAGAAAATGTACTTATCCGGCTACGGTGTGGAGCTAGCGATTAAAAGTACAGAATACAAAGCTTTGGATGACACCCAGGTTAAAAGTAAGTTTACTCTCTGAACTTGAGTAGAATAAAAATTTGGACGCTTATATACTTTTTAAAAAAACATTGACTGACTGTAGTCTTACACATGTTCATTTGAGGCTGGAGATGGGGTACCCTTGTTTCTCCTTAGTTCAGAATTTGATTTTATTCTGAAAGAAATATATTTTATATTGTGGGTCTCAAAAACTTCTTTAAAAATTGGAAAAAAAAATCTTGTTTTGCTTTATCTGGTGGCTTCGCCACCATTGTGAGCAACACATAAAAAATGGTAACCTAGACAAGGCAGGTGGGGGCAGTAGATGAGGCTGGTCATGGCTGTGGTGACCGCCAGGTATGGCCAGCCAGCCTGGCCTGGAGGTGGGGCTGAGGGCAGGGGGTGTCTCACGGGGTACCCAGCCAGTTGGGGGCTGGTGATGGGGTGTGGGTGGGGCTGGCAGTGGGGGTGGGGGTTGTCTAAGGAGGTCAGTGTCTCAGTCAGTCTGAAAGTTCATGGGCCACACACGGTGTTAGGAAGCTTTGTCTCACATATTTTTAATGAAGTTACCAGGATGCTGCTGCTCTTGAAGTAGGGTAGGAGAGGCCTGGGGGTTGCTAGTTTAGATGAAGTAGATTCGGTTAGATCTGTGATCTACAAACCTGTATCTGTGATTGTACTTAAGCTACATGCTCTAGATAAAGGACTCTGGAGTCCTTAAAGAAGCTAGAGTAGTTTTCAGATGCTTCTGAAAATCTTTTATTAACTGGTTCATCCAAAATTTATTTATACCTGATTCTTGATTAAGAGTATTTTTTTTAAGATTTATTTATTTGAAAGAGTGAGTGCGTGCACGGGTGCAACGTGGGGGAGCGGGAAGTGATCACAAGCAAATTCTGGGCTGAGCAGGAAGCCACATGTGGGCTGAGCTGAAATCAGGAGTCAACAAGCTGAGCCACTCAGACACTCCTGGTTAAGAGTCTTTAATTCGGGGGCGCCTGGGTGGCTCAGTGGGGTAAGCCTCTGCCTTCAGCTCGGGTCGTGATCCCAGGGTCCTGGGATCGAGCCCCGAATGGGGGGCTCTCTGCTCAGCGGGGAGCCTGCTTCCACCCCCTCTCTCTCTCTGCCTATCTGCCTACTTGTGATCTCTGTCTGTCAAATAAATAAATAAAATCTTAAAAAAAAAAAGTCTTTAATTCATCCTTTTATATGCTCTCAGATGGGGCTTCTGCTTCAACTTTTTATCTATTCAGGATGTGCTCCTGGAGGCCCTGCTCTCATCACAGACCTAGCTCTGGACACTCCTCCTGACTGCTCCAAATACAGATCTGTATCACTGTTAAGTTTTCTCAGAGTTGCTGGAAAAGGATAGCGCAAATACGAATATCCAGATTTTAGGTATTTCTATATAGCTTATATGTAGCTTTACAGTGTTTTGTAATTTAGTATCTTACTTAATAGTCACAACAGTAACATAAGGCATTTTCTAGCTATTCTTGGGCCTGTGGAATCTTCTTTGAAAGGTCAGATAAAAAAATTTATAAAGTCAGGTGATCCCATTAATGCTCTGTATTACACATTACACACTAATTCTCTCATCACCCTCTAAACGTATGTGTACAGTAGATCTGTTCTCCATTCTAGTAGCCACTCCTTTCATTCAGTTCTGTTTTTTCCCTCTGTATACATCAGACGTCTAACTGGCTTTCTCTCTGATCTTTGGCCTTCTGTGCCCCGAGTCCTCCTTACCCCCTAAAACAGATGGATCAGTGTTCTTCACGGTGCTTTCAGGTTGAAAGCCTTAGGATGAAATCTGACTTTGTGACTCCACTGGTTAAAATCCCACAGAGGCTCGCCATAACCTCCCTCGTAAATCCTAGTACTGTAGCATTGCAAAGAAAGCTTTTCATACTCCAGCCTCTTTCCACTTTGTCACTGTCCCTCAGCCTCTCATTTGTACCTTCTGTTCTGCAACACCAAACTACAAACCAGAATAGTTTTCTCTTGCCTCGATGCCTCCACGTTTGGCTCCATGCTAAACCTTCATGACCTCTATCAAGTACTTTTATCCCTTAGCATATGCTATTCCCTCTGCCTGAAACCTTCTCCTTGGTCCCACTTTTCTTTCATCAAAGGCCTATTCATCTTTTAAAACTTGAAACTATCAGTCAGTACCTCTGAGATGAATGCCTGTCTTTTTGCTCTGCCAAGGGTGGTTTTCTCTTTTCTATATCCCGTATATTCTATGCTTTCTTTCATTGAAAGATATTTAATACAGTTTTACACACTGTATTAAAATTGTCTCTCTCTCTCCTTTCTGCCAAGTGGAGTTTGTGTCTTTTCTGTCTCTCTTCCTCGTGTGTATCTGGCAGGAAACAGACATCCTAGCAGGCAGCCAATAAACGTTTGCCTGATGGAGAAATGAAAAGGAGGAGAAGGAAGACTGAATCAGCACCCACGGCTTTTAGCTGTAGTCCTGGGGATGCGGGCCTTCAGGAGAGAGAGGGGAGGAGTGTATTGGAGGGGCTTGAGCACAGGAGAACGTAACGAGGTCTTGTGCTCCCAACTACCCTGTACTTACACCGGTTACCACCCTGTATGTTATAATTGTCTGGGGAGTAGAGGAGACGGGAAGGGGAAGGGAAGTGACTGTAACATGTTATATCCTTACTTTTTGAGGCCATGAGTTTTGGTGTCTTTCTAAAGATTTCTTGGGTTGTCTTTAAAAGCATTGGATATAGCAGGGCTTGGAGCTCCTGCCTGGCTTAAGAGCTAAAGGATTCGTTGCAACCACTTTGGTTTATGATTCTGGTTATAAAATAGAACTTGACTGTAAAATAATTTGTAAAGCGTTGGTTAAATATGTAATAATCCAAGCCTGTTTAGAAAGAGAGCACGCTCAGAAATAGAAGTGTGCACCGGCGCATGTACCAGTGAGCTGGGCTGTGAAAGGAAAACAAGGTAAAACAAAAGGAATTTAAGTTTGCGTTCTTCTAATTTTTGATGCCCTGTTCCTTTCCCAGTCTGAAAATGTTTTGTTTTGTTTTTGTTTCCAAAATAGCAGCGACCAATACTACTGTGGAGGATGAGGTTGAGACAAATGAGGTTCAAGGATTTCTCTTCTGGAAACTAAAGTGAGTCTGAATTGAAACGAAGTTGCATTGCTGTGCTCTTAACTTTGTCCTAAAGGAATTCACTGTGCTGTGCTGTTGCATGTTTCATCTTCTTAAAATACACCTGTAATTGGTTTTATTTATTACAGAAGTCATACATGATTCATGCAAAACACAATGGAAAAATAATCATGATTTTCGCTGTATGACGAGTATGATTAGAAAAATAGGAATTGGAAATGATCAAAGTTATCTTTGTCAAAAAACATTATAGAATCTCTTATAGAATCTCTTACTGGGTTAGAAAAATCATGGTTAGTATTGGATCATTAGCATGTAATAATCAAAATTTTTGTGCCTCAAAAAAAGAGAAAGTATTTTCTTAAATTTCTGTGTGCAGGTTGCCATATTAAAAACCTTTTAACATCTGGTCTTAATTTCATATACATGTGTAAGTAACCACTCAGAAATTAAAGTTGTGTCCCCCCCCCTTTTTTTTCCTGCATCACCGATTGAAGAGCAAGAATAGGATGGTGAGTGCTCTCTGAAGACCCACAAAAGGGGATTGTTGTCGTTTTATATGTGTTTTCCCTTATTTACAGGAAGGGAAAGTTTGTGATTTCATTACAAAGGCAAAATTAATTAAAGGTAAAGGACAGTTTTTATTAATAGTTTTAATTTTTGCCTGATATTCTATTTATAAAGGACACCAAGGTCAGTCCTCCTCTTGAGTAGATATTCTTACAGAGCAAGGGAGCATTTTTGGAGACTGTGCTAATTTATACAGATGATGGAGTTATATTTCTCAACTACGTTGGCCCAGTGGTGTACTAGTGGCCTTAAGAACTTAATGCATGAAACAGATTTATTAAGGTATTTATTTAGTAGGTAATAATACATTTTATTCCATTGTCAGCTGTCTCAACATCTTGGAACCCACAGTTCTATTCTTTTTTTCTTAATTCTCTTTTAAACATAACTTTTTATTGGAATAAATCGCACATCTCACAGAAGCTTTTGGGACCCTGGGATATTAGTTTCTTAAAAGAAGAAATATTCAAAATTAGTTCTTAATTGAGGCAAAATCCTTTGCTTTGAGTTATTATATGAATAAAGTATTTTTGTCTGGGTTATATAAATTCAGCAGTGAAAATTGTTAAGATTATGGCTAAATATGAAAAATAATACTCTTATAAACTTAATATTCTGTGATTTAAAATATTTGAGAAAGGGGTTAATTTAATTCATAGAGAATTTCCTTTTGAGAGAAGTTCTGTGCTTTTTTACTTCACTGTAAGAACAGTTGTAGTCATTTTGATTCATTTTTTTTTAAAGATTTTATTTACTTATTTGACAGACAGTGAGAGAGGGAACGCAAGCAGGGGGAGGGAGAGAGGGAGAAACAGGCTCCCCCTGAGCAGAGAGACTTATGTGGGGCTCGATCCCAGGACCCTGAGACCATGACCTGAGCCGAAGGCAGAGGCCCAACCCACTGAGCCACCCAGGTGCCCCCCCATTGATTCATTTTTAAAACATGGTCCCATGTGATAAAATTGCATGATATTATCAATATGTTTATTGTTAAACATAAGATAAATGCATTTCTATGTATATGGTTCTGTATATTTTTTAATTTCACTTTTAAAAATCTTTTTACTGTTGAAAATACGTGTTTTGTAAGTTGTGTCGGAGGTAAAGTTTTTTTGAAGAGAATACTATTTAACTCTTAAATGGCACCATGTCTTGATTTCGTAAGAGAAGAAAGAAGCCACATTTGGGATCCTATGTGTGGTAAAATGTCATTCCTACTACATTATTTTTTGGCATTCTCAAAAAAGATACCTAGGCAAAATGAACTTACTGAAGATTTTTTTTTTAATTGCAGAGATGGAACTTTTTGGAAATAAACTCCAAGATTGTATAGGAAGTATTGATGCCTTCCTTATAAAATGGTTTTGTTTTAAATTATAAAATCAATACTAGTAATTTATAAAATGTTACAAAAGTATAGACTCTAAAAGCTAAGAATTCTGCCCTCACCCTTGAGTCCCTTTTAGGTAATGTTAACATGTTTACAATTGAGAGTCTATCCCTTCAGGTTTTGGTTTGTTTTGTTTTATGTATTGAAAAAAGTGCACATACATGGCTCTCATTATTTTTAAGCTCTGCAGACATAGTTGTATCACGATGTACTTATTATCTTGGTGAATAGTTCGTTTGTGTCTAATTATTTGAAAGGGTTAATTTCAAAAATATACTGCTTGTATAATTTGTAGTACGTGATGATAATTAACATTACTTCATATTCTAATGCAGACAAAGGTATTCAGATCTTAGAGATAATCTGACAACATTCCAAAAATACCTGATTGAGAGTAGCAAAGAAATGACGCCTTTGAAAGTCTGGGAACTACAAGGTATGGTATTTTGGTCAACTTTAACATAAACATTTTGGTAACTGATCTCTGTTGTGTTAAATAAGCTTTTATATAACATGATATAAATTATTTTGTAGATATAATTACTGATGTGAATTTTTATGGAAATTGGTATTAAAATCTATCCATCAAGCAAATCATATAAGAGTTAAAATTATATGAAGTGTAGTTGTTTGATATTATCTAATCATTTTTAAAGTGTATACTGATTTATTTTGTAGGTTCATTTCAAGTATTAAATCACATTTCAAGGAGTCTATAATGTTGATTAAAAATCCTGTCTAGTCAGTCAGGAAATCAGAACTAAATCATACTAGTTTTCTTCTGTTTAAAATTTTGAACTTAATAGACCATTGCATATTTCAGTATTAGCTTAGAACAGCCTCGTGCTGACCTCCTGTAAGCAGATATCTTGTGATCAGAATTTAGTTTGAACTGTAAGTCTTTTTTGATTTGTAATTTTCTTTTTTATTACTTGTAATTTTTAGTCATTCATGGAGACATCATTTTGCTGTGTCATCCATAACTTCTATCACATCTCCCATCAACTTTCTATTAACAGCTTATTGAGATAACTGACATACTATACAGTTCACCCCTTTAAAATGTACCATTTGTTGGATGTTAGTATATTTTCTGAGGCTTTTTTACTGTCACCACAGTCAATTTTAGAGTATTTTCATCACCCTGAAAAGAAGGTAACATCCCCATTCACAGTCACTGCCCACTTCTCTCCAGTTTCTCCAGCTGTTGTAGGCAAACACCATTCTGCTTTCTCCTTCAAAATGTTCTCCAAGGAACCCATAATTTAGAAATTACAATTGTAGGCGATCGCTGTAGGTGATGGGGTGCTTTTGAAGGCTTGTAAACAGGGAACGTGCTCAGTCAGCTTAGTTATGATGGATCTGGCTGACCACTGAGTAAGATAGATTTGAATGGACCAGAAACAGGAACTCTGGATAAGACACCCTTGAAATACTGTGGTGAGAGACTGCACTGTGACTGTGGTAGACAGCATCAGAAGGAAGGCTGGATTGAGCAAATATTGAGGAGATGAAAGGAGTCAGAGATGGCTTGAAGATTTCCAGCTTTGAGCCTGAATAGAGAGATATAAAACATGACAGTCTGTTTCAGGGTTGAAGGTGGAGTTCAAGAATAATGAGACTGATGTTAAAAAGATTGCTTAAAGTGACTGACGTATTCAGATGCGGGGTCCAGTGGTGGGATGAACGTAAAGTCTATAAGCTAAAAGGTGAAGATGGAAAGAGCTGAACATCTTAGCTTAAAGCCTTATGAGGGAGGAGGAGCTAATGGTCGTGCAGAGTGACCAGTTGGTACACGAGGGCTGGTGCTGCGGTGTTCATTCACGTGTGGAAAGCAGACCTCATGAACAAGACGTGGGGAGTGATGAGAAATGGAGAAGCACATTACAGAAGCTCACCAAAGTAGATTTCCAAGACAGAGGAAGTAAGCAATCTCCCTTTTCCTATTTTATTGATTTACCAAGTATTTATTCTGTATCTACTACATGTCAGCTATGTCCATACATCCATGGTTTTATAATTTTTGGCTGAGGGCTACAGTAGGAAACCTGTTTTACATCAAGACCCATATACAAGTGTATGATATAAGAATGCATAGATATGCTCAGAACTAAAAGTATATATATGAAAATAAAAGCTTCACATGCAGTATGTATGTTTACTACATTTTATTCAGTCTGACAAACTTTTTTTCTACCGTTTATTTAGAAAAATAACTTTGTACTACCTGTTCATCTGATTTCACTACTAATGGGTTCCAGCTGACATTTTGGAAAACACTAGATGATGAAGATAAACTGAGCTAAAATAGACCCTACATTATCTTCAAAAGATCTCAGATAAACATAAAAATTTTTAAAAACCAGTATAACAATTGTGAATTGTAATTGCTCTAAAGCAAAGGTAGATAGGATTAAGAAGGGTATATGCAGGAAGATCCAAGCTGGTGAGCATGAGGGACGGGGAGAGATAGGGTAGTCTTTGCCGTGAAGTGGTTACTGAATTGAGATCTGAGGAGGGGCTGGAATAAATCTGGGGGTGGGTTATTTAGAGAGAGTACAGAGATCACTGGGAGCCGTTGGATGTGTATACATGAAGGAGATAACCAAGAACTTGGCTAGATTCAGCTTTAAAGTCTTTTCTGACTCTTGACAAGGTAGAGGAGACTAAGTAAGATGACTGCTTCCGGCATACTGGAGACTGAACACATAAGCGACAGATTTCTTAACAGAGATCTGTAGTATCGGGGAAAATACCAAGTCTAGGATTTTATTTTCATTGTGGTATAAAGGTGAAACATTTTGAAAGAGAAAGCAAATGTTTGCTATTTACTGAGTTGTACACACTGGATTTTTTAAATTAACATATAATGTATAATTTGTTTCAGGGGTGCAGGTCTGTGAATCATCAGTCTTACACATTTCACAGCACTCACCATAGCACATACTCTCCCCAGTGCCCATCACCCAGCCACTCTATCCTTTCCCTGCAGCTCCCAGCAGCTCTCAGTTTGTTTCCTGAGATTAAGAGTCTTATGGTTTGTCTCCCTCCTCAGTCCCATCTTGTTACATTTTTCCCTTCCTTCCCCCCTCAAACTCCCACCCTGCCTCTCAAATTCCTCATCAGAGAGATCATATGATAATTGTCTTTCTCTGATTGACTTATTTCGCTTAGCATAATACCCTCTACTTGCATCCACATACTTACAAATGGCAAGATTTCGGGATTTTTGATGGCTGCATAGTATTCCATTGTATGTATGTGTGTGTGTATATATACACACACACACACACACACACACACATATATATATACATACATACACACACATACCATATCTTCTTTATCCATTCATCTGTTGATGGACATCTAGGTTCTTTCCATAGTTTGGCTATTGTGGACATTGCTGCTATAAACATTGGGGTGCACGTGCCCCTTTGGATGGACACATTGGATCTTAAAGTTCTTTCCAGGATTGTCTCCTCAGAGCTCTTTTTTCCTTTATTCTTACCAAAGCTTTTTGTTGCATGTTTTCATTAAACCTTAGAAAAAATAGTTTTGCATCAACATTTCTTTTCCCATATCTTTTTCTGAAGCTATACTATAATTGGTGGAAAACAATAGGTATTAAATGATAATTAATCCTTTATAAAAGTGTAAAGCTTACCTTATTTGGACATAAGTGATAGCCTTACATTTAAAACTTTTGAAGAATGTTAAATGTAAGAGTGTTAACATATATATATTATAACATGGCAAGAAGTGTTGACTAAGTTATTTAAATTACATGGACTGTCTATAAAGATCTGATACTATGCTAGATTCCCTAATGATTTTTTTTTTCCCCAGATCTTAGTTTTCAGGCAGCTTCTCAAATAATGTCCACTCCAGTTTATGATGCCATAAAATTAATGAAAGACATTTCACAGAACTTCCCCATAAAAGCCAGGTATGTTAAAATTTATTACTTTGATTAAAGCCAGAACCCTTTCCATTAAATAAATTTTATGAAAATAGCTGATTTCATTTTAACATAGTGATATCAATTAATTCTCACAGATATAGTGTTAATGAAATCAGGGTATTTCTTCGCTATGCATGGTTTTTTTAATCAGGAAAATACTGGCTTGTGTATACATGTGTGTATACTGCAGGATAGAACTCTTGAATTAGACACAAATGGAAAGGAAAAATAATTTATTGAAGTTATTTAAACATAAACAGTGATATGATAATCCAGCTATGGTAAACTTATTTAAGGAATGAATAATGAGGGGATATTTTTTCTCTTTTCTAGGTAAGGGGTTATGAAAAGTATTATTCTAAATAGATTTATGCCCAGAGTATGGCTAGATCATGTTCTTACCCTTTCAGATTCTAAACAGGTAGTAGTGTCTTATTTATGGAAAATTTTATGGAGGACTTTTTTGCCAATAGGATACCTAATGGAACTCCTTCCAGAAATACTGAGTTTACATTAAATATATCTTGCAGTTCAATAGATAATACTTAAGCATGTCTAAAAGTAATCAGTACTTTTACAAAATAACAAAGTCTTGTGCATTTGTAGTCTGGTTAGGAATGACAGGCTCTACAATTATAAACAACCAGTGAAAATAAGTTAGCTTTTCTTGAAGACACAGAGCACGTGATCAGTGCAGCTGTGTTTTTTTGGAAGGAACGGGAGGACGTTCCTGCCATGGCTCCAGCCCTTCTCCACCCATGGGGGTTTGCTGCGCCTCTGTGTGTCTCAGACACTTTGTTGTACATTTGTCCACAGTGCAAACTACTGAATTTTAAATCTAGATTTTCTTTCTTTTGTAAGACAAATAAATAATATGTAGTTGGTCACAAGATAACAAGAACCTTTCCAGGGGACCCTGAAATAGAGGAGTTTGTCAACTTAATTACAGATTAAGAATTGATGTATTGGGGTGCCTGGGTGGCTCAATGGGTTAAAGCCTCTGCCTTCAGCTCAGGTCATGATCTCAGGGTCCTGGGATCAAGCCCCACATCAGGCTCTCTGCTCAGCAGGGAGCCTGCTTCCCTATCTCTCTCTGCCTGGCTCTCTGCCTACTTGTGATCTCTCTCTCTGTGTCAAATAAATAAAATCTTTAAAAAAAAAAAAAAGAATTGATGTATTGATGTGATTCTTTGTGTTAATTCTAGCTTAAACAGTCAAGAACTTGAGAAGTCAGCATATACTAAAACAGAAGTATGCACGTGTGTATAAATGTTTAGCTGCACTGCTGTTTCTGAAATTACTAGATCAAATACAAATTAAGTAAAATAACTCTAGTTTTAAGAGGACCATTAATTCACTCTTTTGACAGTAAGTCAGTTGTAATTCAGGGTTCTGTTGCTAAACTCTGCTCTCATTTTGTGGTTGATCTCTAAAAAAAATTGCAAACTGCAGTAACACTGCTTAGTGGCTAACTTACAGGCTTGAGCATATCTGTAAAGCCACTCTTTAGAAAATCAGTAAATGAGAAAATATTTTATAAATGAATGAAAAATTTGTATTATCAAATTATCTTTTGTAATTTCTCTCAAATGCTACCATGTTTTATGAGATAATACATACTTACTGTGAACTGTCTTAAGATACACCTTTCTGCTTGCGTTTTACTTTAAAGCTGAACTTTGCATTATAAACCTTTTAATTTTTCAGTCACTTATTTGCATAAAATTGACAAATATGTAACTAATTTTGCTAGGAGTTGATAACTCCTGTTAAAAAAAAAAATCTTCTCTGTCTTTAAGTTATAGGGGATATTCAAGAGTCAATATGTGAAATCAGTTTTATTATTTGTTTAGAGCTTACATGCCCTGGTAGAGGTCCCAGGTTAACCAAAATCTTTATGTCCAGGTATTCTGAAAATTGCCAGTTTGCATTGGCACATTTGATGATATTGGTAATTTCATACGAAATTTCTCTGTCTGGGCCCAGTAGCACAAAACAGCGTTTTCAGTCAAGTATATTTGAAAAATAAGTATCTAGTAGTAAACAAGTGCTGACAGTACTTAAAGCATACAGTTAGTGCAGGTGAGCCCTTTTTTAAAATTAAGGTTTTATTTTAATTCCAGTGTAATTAACATACAGTGTTGTGTTAGTTTCAGGTGTATAGTACACTGATTCAGCAACTCCATACATCACCCGAGCGTACATGAACTCTTGACAGTCTGTAATCCACCTGAATCGAACACCCTTGTCAGATGAAAGCCATTGTACCAGTTGTCAGATGGGCTGCATGGAAATGGATACTTTTCAGTCATGAAACATTTTGAATTTTTAGGTTCTTATCCAGAGTACTACTACAGTGAATCACAGATTAGTCTTAAACATTTAAGGAAAAATTAATTATATCCGTATTTATTTTCCCAGATCTCTGACCAGAATTGCTGTAAATCAACTTATGAGGGAGGAAATACAGGAAAATCAAAAGGTTTGTTTGAATTTTTTTTTTCCAATTTACTACACTAATACCACTATTTTAGAGTTTGGATCTTCAATTTTTGTGCAAAAAAGAAAATGATAATTTGTGTTTTTTAGATTATTAAAACAGTTTAGGTTTTTCCATTTTTAGATTGTCTACTTGATGTAGCTTACAGTCTGTGATTCTAGCCAGTCTTTCCTGACATACAACTTAACTTCTTCATTCACCTGTACTCCAGACCTTCTGCCCACATAGTATGGTTTTCTTTATAGGATAAAGAATAAAGCTATGAGCTAATTATTCTGTTTCTCATAACTGGTTTTGCTTTAAAAGCTTGTGAGGCCCGAGTCAGGTTTGGACCACTGGAACATTATTAGAATCGTATGTCATATAGGGCACAGTTGATCAGTAATTTGAAAAGATTCTTAAGAACCCAAATGACCCTAGCTGTGATGGTATTTATAAAGTGCTTAGAACACCGCCTGGGTTAATGACATAGGACTGCCTTGGCTTTAAGAACTAGAACCAGATGCACAGGCCCTTGAACAGTAGGAATTTGTTTTTCTCACATAAAGAATTCTCAGAGTAGTTGGTTACAGACATGGTTTTCCCCTTCTATGGCCGTGGAGTGGCTCCCGCAGCTCTAGACTTCTTACTTGTATTCAAAGCAGAAAGAGGCAGGAGGACGGTATTAGCCATATGTGTCCTCTCTAAAGCCTTCCTGGAACACTTCAGCTAACTCTTCCATCAGATTGGCCGGAATTTTGTCATGCGGCTATCTCTCGCCGCAAGGGAGGCTAGAAAAGTGGCGTTCTTTTCTAGTAATTGGGGCAGGCTGAGGAGAGGTGGGTTAACTTAACCAGCCAACGGTGCCCGTCCCACGCAGACAGAGCTCTCAGTAGATCTCAGCTCTTCCGATGGCGACCAGAAGCTCCAGCAGTTACAGTGACGTCGATGCCTGTCCGTGCCTGGAGCCTGGTGTTGGGAACCATCACACAGCATCCCTGGGCAGGGTATTCCTTGCCTCACTGATCACCTAACAAATTATTGTTTATTTTCCAGAACTAGTTGTAGTATTACTCTTTACTGTAATTTTCCCAATTGCTCTTACCATTCTTGGAACAGAGTGGATTGTTTTCTAATGAAAGTTCCATACTTCCAGTGAATTTTGTTTGAATAACGTACTTTCAGTAGGAAAAGAAGAGAGGGTAGTGAAGAAAAGGGAGGAAAAATGGAGGATGCCAGAGTATCAGTGGCCTCACCCAATCCAGTTTATTTTTGTGCTCATGTCATAGCCCAGAGTGGGTGTTCTGGTCATCAGAGCTTTGCTCCAAGAGGTGGCTTAGTGTCAAAAGGCTGGAGGACTTCATAAGGTCAAAGAAGAATATAGTGGAGATGAAAGTGAGGTCATTGGAAGGACTGAAGACCCAGATCACTGCACTGGTAAATTTCACAGGTAGGCCAGTGCGATGGCCTAATCATAGGGTGATGACCAAAGCTGGTTGCTGAAGCAGAGTGGATGGGGATAGGATTGAGGAAATCAGAAAACTCTGAACCTGGAGGCTTGAATGAGTATGGTGCCTGGTATGGCACATTCCCTCAGAAATATGTGTTGAATTAAAAACTGTTGAATGTTTAAATGTTATCTGTAATACAGTCAGTTTTTAGCAACAGGTGGTTTTTTAAGTGATATGTGTATTGTAGCAGTTATTAATATTCCAATTTATAAAATGAGACCCAGTGATTTCTGTTGAGTCACAGAGTTAGTAAAAGTACCAGAATTTGTGCTCTAATACACAGTTCATTTCAGATCAATTTCATAAGCACTTTGAATTCATTCAAGGGCCAACCGTCTTGCCAGGTGATTAGAAAACAAAAATATTTGAGGAGCTTAAGAAATTTGATCTACATTCGTTTCTTCTCAAAATTCTTGACTGACTCCTATTTCCAGAAGAACAACATACAAAAATTAGAGAAATGCATTTAATAAAATGGTGGGATAGGAGAAATCTAATGTAGACTGTCAGGTCCCCTATGAAAAAACCCAGAGGAAAACCTGTTGATCAAGCAAAGCTGAGTTTAATCACTTACTGAAGTAAGGGAGGAGACCTTGGTGGAATCTTACTCTCAAAAGAAGGATGTTATGGTAGATTATCTGTAGGTTCCAGAGCTTCTGTTCAAGCGAGTTGGGTCTTTTAAGGTAGGGGAAATTTTGGGGTTTGGGTGGAGTCTGTAACAGTTTGTAACTAATTGTAAATTAGTTGATTTAGTTAAATAATTAGTTCATAACTAATAATAAACTGAACTAATCACCCACACTGTCTGCTAATGGAGTGTTGAACTACCTCTGGTAAAAAAATAAACACCATTTTTTGATGGAAAAAAAAAGAAGAGGCACTTTGAGCGGGGCAAGTGCTGTGGTTGGCATAGGGGCAGTGGGAGTGCAGACTGAGAAAAAGCAGACCACCGGGGCAGTGCTCATTTCTTCGGCTCTGATTTGCTGTTGTACCAGGGATCTAATCAGTCCTGTGTCTGCCTCCCTCTTGAGCAGGCCAGAGATCCCAGCTAAACAGCCATCCTAGAGCAGCTCCCTGCTCCAGATGGCCTGACGGGGGTTCCAGACCAGTGTTGTCTCCTGGGACATTGACACAGCAGCCAAGTTTATTGGCGCTGGGGCTGCCACAGTTGGTGTGGCTGGTTCAGGGGCTGGCATTGGAACAGCGTTGGGCAGCTTGACCTTGGCTGTGCCAGGAACCCGTCTCTCAAGCAGCAGCTCTTCTCCTGTGCCATTCTGGGCTTTAGCATTGGTTTAGGATCGGTCAACACAAAAGTGATGGTTTTTTGTTTTTTGTTTTGTTTCGTTTTGTTTTTAAGATTTTATTTATTTATTTGACAGAGAGATCACAAGTAGGCAGAGAAGCAGGCAGAGAGAGAGGAGGAAGCAGGCTCCCTGCTGAGCAGAGAGCCCGACGCGGGGCTCGATCCCAGGACCCTGGGATCATGACCTGAGCTGAAGGCAGAGGCTTTAACCTACTGAGCCTGGCACCCCAAAAGTGATGGTTTTGATGAGCAAATTTATAAGCAAGTTTTTTGCCCAGATTAGGTAACTGTTCAGATTTGCCAACAGACTGTTTTGCAGATACATTCCAGATTTGCCTGGCACACTTTGTTTGCAAGAATTTCCTGAAGCAAATGATTATTTATTCATTTATAGCTTTTTCTTCCTGGACAAGAATTTCCTGTAATAGTTAAGTGATACCAGCTCAAGGGATCCCCCTTCTTAATCCCCATAGTTGAGCTGTAATGACATAGGTGGTCTCATTTCCCTCTAGGAGGGCAAGAGATGACTCAAGAAGTAGACAGTAGCTAGCTAGAAAAGTGGGGAGAGACAGTGTTATTTTCCCTATAGTACTTTATGACCAAATGTTTGCTGTTGCTAATATAGAAAGTCATAGGGAAATAGAAAGTCATAGGGAAGGACTGCTTAAAAATTTAAGATCATTGGTTGATACATTTGCAGAGGGGAAACATGAAATATTGAGATGGATTATGTTGTTGTTCACAGTCACTCTCTTCCCTCAGATGTTGATTGATGCCATGTCACTTTGGCTAATATAAAATGAGCAGATACACACATCTGTGCAAGCAGCAGCTTTGTGGTTCGGTTGCCTTGTTGCTTCTGCTCTCTGTCATGAGGCATGTCCCACACAGGCGCTGCTCCCCTGGTCTGGCACCTGAAATGAAAAAGGCCCTGGAGTGGAACCGAAGATGACTTGAAGGTGTGACTGCATGATATGAGCAAGAAGTAAATGTTTCTTCTAGTAAGCCACTGAGATTCCGGCGTTCTTTGTATTAAGAACCTGGTTACAGTAATACCATCAAATGTATTAAATTTCATACGTTACTTTTCCATCTGTTTAATTGTATTTTATCCTAGGCTCTTGAAACTATACAACAATGTTTCTGTGTTTGAAAGAAATTCAGAATAATTTCTGTTGCTCCACAAAACCTGATTTTAGGGCTATTAGAAGAACTGAAGGAATGAAATAGCTATGGAAATAAGAACAGGCAGAAGTCCTGGTTTAGTTGCTGGTACTAGCTTTGAAGAAGTCATCTTCTTCAAACCTCTTCTGGAAACTGTAATTACATGGTTCAGATTAGAATCATCTGTGAGCATATTTTGTAAATATGTACAGCGTCAAGATGGCAGAAATAGTAGAAATGTAGTCAGAATGACAAGGTTAAGGTTGGAATTTTTTTAAAGATTTTATTTATTTATGTGACAGAGAAAGCACAAGCAGGGGGAGTAACAGAAGGAGAGGGAGAAGCAGGCTCCCCACCGAACAGGGAGCCCAATGCAGGGCTCTATCCCAGGATGCTGGGATCACGACCTGAGCCAAAGGCATACGCTTAACCGGCTGAGCCACCCAGGTGCCCCTAAGGTTAGAATTATTACAGAGTTATTCTAATATCACATTTAAAAAGATCTTTCAGTTCATATTTCATTATGTTAATCCAGGATTAACATTATCTGTCAATCCTAGTATTTGCTGTATCTCCTCATTTTTTTTTTTTTAGGAATTATTTGGATCTTTTAAATTTTAGTATCTTTATTATTTGTATATTGCACATTTTATTGTCAACTTAGCTAGGGAAGCTGGCTTTGGTTAATTTTATTTAGTTATATTTTGAGTTAAAAGCTGGCTTAAGCTGACATTTTGTTATTAAGAGGATAGTGATTGGCTCCAATAGGAATATGGCTACAGCCCAATTCAAAATAGTCCCATTTATTCTCCTAAAAATCATACATAGCAACAAGAAGAATAAAAACAGCTTTTCAGCAAAACTAGCAGAAGGCAAAAACCTAAATTTTGTGTGTGGTGGGAAATGGCCAGCCCCAGCAGAACTGAAGCATAAAGCCAGAGTCGCATGGAGGGGAAGTGTGGGACGCAGCCGGGGTACCAGGAAGAAGCAGCAAGCACTCCCTCTCGGGGGAGAGGGCTCTGCTC